GGGGGGGCGCTCTGTTACTTTCCTCTCAAAACGCTGTCGAAGCCGAAACGTTGAAATCAGGGTTGGAGCAATGGAGAGATGGTCCTGGGAAACGAGCACGGCGCCCCTCCCCTGTGCTCCCAGGACCCAGGGCTAGGTCAAGTTGAGTAGGGTAAGGTGGCACCGGGAGCCTCAGGGGTCCTGTGGTGGGAGGACTGGGGCCCAAGCGCGGCGGGAGGATGGAAGGATCGAGGTCCGGGTGGGGGTAGAGGATGTTCTCGGGCAGCGGATGTGCTCGCAGTCACCGCTGGCAGTCGACGTGGTTGGGCTGCTTCGATCTGATCTTGGTTCGTCTGGGTGGTACCTGCAATTTTGCCCCACTCCGGAGGACTGGAGAGGGAGGAGTGAAGAGGTGAGAGTGATTGTTACTGGGAAGAATAGTGAGGGGGCGAGAAGAGCTGCTATCTTGCCTGAACCGGCAAGGAGGGGGACGACGGGGGCAAGCTGGGGGGAGACATTACCCAAAGCCCAGGTTAGCAAATTGTTGGTTCTTCTGCTGTGCCAGCCACTTACTCCTCCTGCTAAAACTGAACGTAGGTGGAGGGTATGGATTGGAGGGGCGAGGTGAGGGGGGTGGGGGGCGGGAGGGAGGTAAAGTGGGAGTAGCTTTGGAGAGAGACTCACAGGTCTCCCGCCACTTCTCAGCTTTTTTTCGGAAGTTGAGAGTCCTCCAGGCTGGCCGACAGAAGACCTGGGAGGAGGGGTTGAGCGACAGTCTTAAATAGCCCAAGGAGGCAGGCTGGAGTGTGAAACTTCTGCTCTTGGCAATCCAGAACCCACTCCGCCTGGGGGAAGGCTGGGAACTCACCTGCTTGTTTTTATTTTTCCCAGAAGGTCTGTGTTGTCTCCTTGAGCTTATAATAACAGTGCAAGCACAGGGTGGCCTGCTCTCAAAGTCAAGGCTAGAAGTCTCTTCTCTTGTTCTCCCCCCCACCCCTTCTCTCCCATCTATAACCTCCTTTACAAAAAAAAAATTATAATAATGTCCTTTCCTGGATTAGGTAGACAAAGGTCTGTTAGCCGAGAGCTGCGCCATGGGCAGGGCCTGACAGGTGTGTTATGTCAAGAAAGACAGGTGCAAATTTCCTCTGTGTCTGTGTGTGTCTGTACAGTTCCAGACCTCAGGGTGTGCTCCAGGGTTGCGGAGGTTTATGGGTTTATGGTTGCCTTGGTTAATAGGATTGTCCGGGCTCATGGGAACTGCGCTGTTGTTATGTTTTGAGCCCTGCCATGTGAGTTCTTTGGTTGGGGGTGGAGGACAAGTTGGTATGTGTTTGTTTATTTTTCTTAAGGATGTTGGCAGGCTGCTGCTGAGGCTGTGTCTCGGGCTCCTGTCTGCCAGGCAGCTGAAAGTACCCCCACTTCAGGCAGCAGGTGGAGGGAGATTGACTTTCCCTTCGCTTCTCTCTGGTTTACGCCTATTTCCCAGGTCTTTGGGGGCATTCGGGGCGGGGGGAGTAGTGAGAGCGTCTTGTGTGTGTGTGTGTGTGTGTGTGTGTGTGTATGTGTGTGTGTATGTTTTGGACATCCATGGATGGTGCGTGTAACTGCCAAGAATACCAAAGTCAGTTTGAAAGTGTTACTGTTTTTAAAGCTTATCTTCTTTAGCGTGCTTTCTCCCTGCCCAGAAGGAGTAGGTATGTGCATAAACTCTTTCAGGTCGTATGTTAAATACTCTCATAAAGTAGAATGAGCCTGTCATTGTACCAGACATGTGCCAGATGTCCTAGTTATTACTTTGATGGAGAAGGAAAATCTCAAGTATGTGAGAGGTAACCGTGCTTTTCTATTTGATGCAAGATGTAGGCAGTCAGTTCCCTGAAGTTTCTTGCAAGAACTTCTGAGCATTTTCAAAATGAAATGGGCTGTGGGTGGTGAAGAAGAAAAAGGGGAGTAATTTGGTTAACCTGTCCATGTGCTACAACATGGACCTGTTTCTGCAATAGTAAAATAGATGAAAGTAAGCACTGTGGCTTCATGTGTGAGGGAAGCTATTGAGAATTCAGTGTAAGCACAGTATATGGATTCTCAAAATCGGACCTTTTAATTTTTTTTTTCTTTAAACAGGCTACTTCTTGAGTTGCGTAGAAATAGATTAGATGGCGAATGGTTTTTGTTGGTTGGTTTGGTGGCTTGGGTGATCATCCTTGTTTCATGAAAATGAGATAGTATGTGTCATTTTATTCTTTTGACTTAAACATCCAAGTTCCTCCTAATACTTTCTTTGGATGCTCTTGAAGTCCTTTCATAACTAAAATGTCCTCTATGGATATGTCATTTGCTTTATTTTTAATAAGGGTTATCTGTGCTTGGCACTTATTGATATTTTTATATGTCCATTGTGCAGAATTCTATTTAGGTTAATCACCAAGACCTTGTGGGGAAAAAGTCATGCATACCTAACATGCATCTTTGTTCTCACTTGATTCATTCCCTTGCATCTTTCCTCTATAAGTAGCACTTACAATCTTAAAACATAACCTAGCTGCCAGGCGTACTCTTTATTTGTTCAAAGTGAAATAGGCCTTTCTTCATGAATTTCTTAGAGGCATTATTTTGCATTTGCAACTGTAAATATAAGGAATATTTAGGTTCAAGATTAACAAAAGATTATAAAATGTTACTGATTTTATAATATGAAGATTGATTGTGCATGATATATTATTACTGGGTTCTAATTAAGTATCTGTATAAATTGGAAAGGACATATACATAAGGAATTTCTAAAACCTTATTGCCTGGTGTATTCGAAAGCTTCAAAGGACATTTAGAGTATTTCAATTCTCTTCAGAAAAAAAAATAAATGTAAGTGTTTCTTCTTGAAGTTATTTCTCACTCTCTTTTATTTACTAATTTGGTGACTTATTACTTTTTAATATTTTAGGCATGTCTCAGAAAATACTCTGTGTTCATCTTGCAGGTGAAAAATGTATGAAATTTTTGATAGAATGGAGGAATTCAAGATAAAATCGTTCTGATTTGAGATCTCTATTATCATAGGAAAATTTAAACCTGATATAAGATTTTGACAATACAATGTTAGTTAATTTAAGTATTAACTAATGTCAGGTGGGTTCCTCACAATAAACATCAAAGGCTTTCTTAGCCTGATAGTGAGCAGAAACATCTCCAAAGGAAAAGTTGCTAATTAGCAGAAATGAACTCTTAAATACAGTGAAGGGGACAGCTTGGTAAGGGGCAGGGGTGGGGGAGTACCTAAATCAAATCATCTGATTTCCCCCCTTGAATTACTGATTTCCAGATGGATTTACAAGGTTCTTTGTTAGTGTTATTCCACTTGCAGTTTTCATAAGCGGCTTGACCCAAGTAGATCAGAGGCCCACTCAAAGGTTGTTTTCTAAAAGAAGTAAAGTGTAGGCTTGAGCAATTTCTTCAAATCATTTTATCAACAAAGACCGACAGTCTAAATCATCCAAGCAGGAAACCATGCCAACCTTACCCTTCCCCTTCTCATGAAAGATTTGACTGAACCATTGGAGTAATAATCATAGTGATCACTTCTTTGTCTAGAAGCTAGACTCCAGATCGAGGCATAAAAGTTGCATCCCCTTCCCCAAATAACTTCTTTATTAAAGTAGAACACTTCAGCACTTCCTACTTCACACTGCAGTGTTCCTTTGAAACGCTTCCCTGAAAATTCTTTTCTACTAACGTTGTCATCAGCTTCCTTAGGATTCTCCATGTTAAATTATCTGACATTCTTCAGCTAATTCAGATTTTAATGAAGAATCTTTTGGAGTAGTTAAAATCTGACTTGATCATAGTTGAACGTTCTTATCTTTTTCTGGGAGGAATCTGCTAATGTTAAGATACCCTTCGTATAGGAATTATTAAAGTGTTTATGTAGTTAGATGCCAAGTGGTACAACACAATATTCAGTAATAAAAATATTCTATGTAGATTTTCATATTAATTACAGAGGAGTTTACAGGAATAGAATATGTGTATCCAATCGATAATACATTTGGGTTCAAATGCTACGTCAGTATTTTTCTGCATACTTTGCTGATATTGATGTTCACCAGTGCTGATCAAAAGGTTCATATCGCTGGGTTAAACTCAAAATTAATATAAAAATTAAAACATAATAAGAATCAGTAATAATTGTAGTTGAAACATATGGCTTAGTACATATATTGAGAAATAAAGGAATTTTTAAAAATCTTAATGGACAGGATGATACCAGTGATAAATTAATTGCATAGCATTCTCTAAATTCTGAATTGGGAAATCATGGAAGCACCTTTGAAAGTGTTTTCAAGTGATTTAATTTACATTATAGTCATTTAACAATGCATTTTCTTATGTGGTAAAATATTCATATATATATCTTGTTTGTGAAACATGATGCTAATAAAGTACTACAGTCAACCAGTTATAATTATTTAATCTTGCCTATAGCCTTCCTGGGTTATAATCCCAATGTGTTTAGGTCAAAGCTACACATAGAGATCTATTTATTCACGCCTACTAATATAATGCCTTGTCTTGCTGGATTATATAATTTTTCCTAGTTTTCTCATTTGTTTTGTCCTGATTGTTATGTCTCAGCTGTACATTTTACAATAAGACCCCAAAATATTTAAATTTTCTTAGCCCCAAAGAGAAACAAATCATTATTTAATCCAAGAATGCTGACCAGTTGAGAGAAAATTGCAAAAATCAGTTTCGTTTGGTGAATTTGAAAGAAGTTACAGGATATTTTCTTCTTAAAAGACCCAACAAGCACGTTTAATTAACATGTATTCTCCACTGAAGACGAGGATGTGATTTCTTTCTACCTTAGGAAGAGCACAGCCTTCCCCTTGGCTCAGGCATGAGGTAGGGATGCAGCTGTTGATACCTAGGCTGGAAGAGAGGAAGTGCAGTTGACGCAGAGGTAAATGGCAGCTGGGAAGGGAAGGATGGCTGGGGATGACCTTGTGCTCATCTCTTACACCAGCGTGTTGTTTCTGAGCCTCTGTTGCAGAGATGCTCTTCCTGTAGCAAGGATGGGTAGGGGGAAAACCCAGATTGGATGTTAAGAGGAACAGGGGAAGAAAATACTGCAGAAAGTTTGTTCAACATTTTGATTGGTGATCTGTGTGCTTTTCAGGTGATATTAAAGAGAAAATGATTTGCACCCAAAAAGACAAGAGGTAAAATTTTGCAAGAATGGCAATAAACTCTACTTTTGAAAAGCTGATCTACACACACAAAGTCCTCCTCGCAAAGACATCCCACTTCAATATGCAAGTCTTTCTGGGCTTTAAAATAATTCATCTTTTTTCTTGTTTGTCTCCGTCTCCCCTTTTTTCCTTCTCTCACCTGACAGCTGCACCTGATTTATCAGCTCTAACATGTTAGTGAAATATTTGCCATTGCATTTTTGTATTCCTGAAACCAATTTCATTTATTAATGTGTGAGGGGTCACAATCATCTTGAATTCAATTTTGAACCCTATATATTGAAGTTATCAAGATCTGTTTCCATTCCAAGTTCAGGAAATTTTATCTTGAGGCACACAAAAATGTATTTTACCCTCAAGCATCCAAAAAAACATACAAAAAAGCATCATGTTGCTTTCTTGACACTCTGATACAGCCTTTATTTAAATGTCTTATCTTCATATAAAAACTGAGAACAAGGGCTACATGATGAAATCTTTGTCGCTTAAAAAAATACACATTGCCATCTAAGCATTGAGCATTTTCTTGATTTTTACAGGTTATTTCATGCTGAAATTATGCCTATTTGCATGGATAGTCATTCTTTAAAACTAGCCACAGATGCAGTCCTAGGGAGCACGTAGATGTTTTTACAGGTGAACCGAAAGAGATGGGAGCTGTTCCAAACACTCTGCACGCTGCCTTTGGCAATAGACCCTGTTATTGTGAAGATGTGCTCTGTTAAGCAAACGTGAAGTTTAATATTAGATAAACCCTGTGTGAAAAAAAAATTTTTCATTTTCTTCATAAAACGTTCATTGTAAGCAAAAAGATGCGACATCTTAACATTTATACAGAATTTGGGGTTAGCATCGCTGGTTAACGTCACAAAAAATGTCAAGTGCCTTTTGTAAGATGCAAGTGCCTTTTTATATTGTGTTCCCAAGAAACAATGGAAGTTCATATACAGAGACGGTATTTCCCTTTCTCACATATTTAATTGACGTTATTTTCTTTCTTCTTTATATATCTTCCTTCAGTCTTTTTTTTTCCGCCTGTGTTTTTCTCATCCTTTAATTTGGCACAAGAAATAAGGTTCACAAGTGGTGTATGTTAGAGAGCTTCTTTAGGCATTTGAAGTATTATTTTTTGGCAGATTATAGAAAAAAACTAGCACTGAAGATGTATTTATCCTTGCCTAACTCAATTTATTGTTCCACATATTGATTTCTAAAATGTGACAATGTCCTTCTGCGCTGAGTCCAACTTTATAATAATTGAAGTCATCAAAACGACATCATGAAAATTTATAAATATTCTCATACTTACATTAAAATCCAGCAACAGATACCGTCTTCAAATGTGATTTTAGTAATAAAAAGCACATATCTGTGCTAAGTAAGCAGACTTGTAAAATGAGTATTTGTGCACTTATTTCCATGCTAAGTTGGCCATTTATGTTGGAAAGATGCTGATGGGAGTGTTCTCTTCCCCATTTCACATATGACAAAAATGTTGTAAAATTCAGTAATAAAGGGTGTGTGTGTGAAGTATTTGCATTTTTAGAGTCATTTTTTCCCCTTAATAGCATTAAAGCCACAATAATTTTATTGCAGAAATGGAATTTTTCATCCAAATTTCACGCATCCTCACAATTTAACCTTATTTCTTAAGTATAGACCACTTTTATCTTCTTTTGTAATATGAATCTCAGTGCCCAAAATTTAATCAGTTGGTTGTCAGAGGCTGTGTTCTTATAATCTACTGTTTCTTCTGAAGATAAACAGTATCATTTTAGGCATTTGTGAAAGCGAATCATATTACTGGTGCTTAAGCAGTTTTTGCTTTTTTTTTTTTTTTTTTTTAATCTTAATCCATCTTAAACCAGTGGAGCAGAAATATTTAAAAATGTTTCATTTCAAGCAGAGTGCATAATAAATTGCAATAATTGTAATGTGCCATAAATCCCAGAGCCTATGCATTTTGCATTTGATTCAGGATTGAGGTCAGGAAATTTGGAGAAATTTAAAGAAAATGATTCATCAGTCCTTTTGTTCTGTTGGCCAGGGTCCCAGGATTCTTGAGCTGTGCCCAGCTGACGAGCTTTTGAAGATGGCACAATAACTGTCCAGTGATGCCTGACCATGACAGCACAGCCCTCTTAAGCCGGCAAACCAAGAGGAGAAGGGTTGACATTGGAGTGAAAAGGACGGTAGGGACAGCATCTGCATTTTTTGCTAAGGCAAGAGCAACGTTTTTTAGTGCCATGAATCCCCAAGGTTCCGAGCAGGATGTTGAGTATTCAGTGGTGCAGCATGCAGATGGGGAAAAGTCAAATGTACTCCGCAAGCTGCTGAAGAGGGCGAACTCATATGAAGATGCCATGATGCCTTTTCCAGGAGCAACCATAATTTCCCAGCTGTTGAAAAATAACATGAACAAAAATGGTGGCACGGAGCCCAGTTTCCAAGCCAGCGGTCTCTCGAGTACAGGCTCCGAAGTACATCAGGAGGATATATGCAGCAACTCTTCAAGAGACAGCCCCCCAGAGTGTCTTTCCCCTTTTGGCAGGCCTACTATGAGCCAGTTTGATATGGATCGCTTATGTGACGAGCACCTGAGAGCAAAGCGCGCCCGGGTTGAGAATATAATCCGGGGTATGAGCCATTCCCCCAGTGTGGCATTACGGGGCAATGAAAATGAAAGAGATATGGCCCCACAGTCTGTGAGTCCCCGAGAAAGTTACCGAGAAAACAAACGCAAGCAGAAGCTGCCCCAGCAGCAGCAACAGAGTTTCCAGCAGCTGGTTTCAGCCCGCAAAGAACAGAAGCGAGAGGAGCGCCGACAGCTGAAACAGCAGCTGGAGGACATGCAGAAACAGCTGCGCCAGCTGCAGGAAAAGTTCTACCAGATCTATGACAGCACTGATTCTGAAAATGATGAAGATGGTAACCTGTCTGAAGACAGCATGCGCTCGGAGATCCTGGATGCCAGGGCCCAGGACTCCGTGGGGAGGTCAGACAATGAGATGTGCGAGCTGGACCCGGGGCAGTTCATCGACCGAGCCCGGGCCCTGATCCGGGAGCAGGAAATGGCCGAAAACAAGCCGAAGCGAGAAGGCAACAACAAAGAAAGAGACCACGGGCCAAACTCCTTACAACCCGAAGGCAAACATTTGGCCGAGACCTTGAAACAAGAACTGAACACTGCCATGTCGCAAGTTGTGGACACTGTGGTCAAAGTCTTCTCGGCCAAACCCTCTCGCCAGGTTCCTCAGGTCTTTCCGCCGCTCCAGATCCCCCAGGCCAGATTTGCAGTCAACGGGGAGAACCACAATTTCCACACCGCCAACCAGCGCCTGCAGTGCTTTGGCGATGTCATCATTCCGAACCCCCTGGACACCTTTGGCAATGTGCAGATGCCCAGTTCCACAGACCAGACAGAAGCACTGCCCCTGGTGGTCCGCAAAAACTCATCTGACCAGTCTGCCTCCGGCCCCCCTGCCGGCGGTCACCACCAGCCCCTGCACCAGTCGCCTCTGTCGGCCACCGCAGGCTTTACCACGTCCACCTTCCGCCACCCCTTTCCCCTCCCCTTGATGGCCTACCCGTTTCAGAGTCCGTTAGGTGCTCCCTCCGGCTCCTTCTCGGGAAAAGACAGAGCCTCTCCTGAATCCTTAGACTTAACTAGGGAGACCACGAGTCTGAGGACCAAGATGTCATCCCACCACCTGAGCCACCATCCTTGTTCACCAGCACATCCACCCAGCACCGCAGAAGGGCTCTCCTTGTCTCTCATCAAATCCGAGTGTGGCGATCTTCAAGACATGTCCGAAATCTCACCTTATTCGGGAAGTGCAATATCCTTTCATTTGCCCCCCAAGGAAAACAAGCCCAAACCAAAAAGGCTTCCCAGAAGGTCAGGTTTACACATTATTTAGAATGATGTAGATTTACTATCTTCTTAAGAATGCAGTCTTTCCTCCTCTTCAGAGTCATAGGCTTTTATCAGCAGCGTGTGGCACTTCTGGTTGCACAAAAGCTTCACAGGAAACCAACATTTTTGTAACTTTCACAAGTTGTTAATTGCCCTAAAGTGGTAGTATTTAATTTGTGCTTTTGCAGCAGGGTTTTTTTCTGCTGTTTCTTCCCATATTATCTTCTTTTCCTTTTTTTTTTTTTTTTTCCCCAAGAGTAGATTTAGAGGTGGAAAAAAAAAAATCTCATTGTAATATTGAATTCTATCAGGTTTTATTTTAACGTAAGTTTCATAGCAGAGTAAGAGAGAAAAATCAGTTTTCAGATCCCTAAGACTCCATAAGAAGAATTCTCCCTTTCGTTATCTATAAGGCTCCTGGTCTGTTTAAAGAAGGCCTGATTAAATCTTATGAGGAACAGTCTACTGATGGGAGGCTGCAGTGGGAAAAAGATGGTTGTGGATAGGGAGTTAGAGTCTCTCCTTATTCTTTAAGTGAGGTGTGTTCTTTTGTTTGTTTGTTTGTTTTAAAGGAAATATACAGGTACTGATTTATTCAGACGGTATCCATCTCTCTCCCGTTCACCCAAGGTCTGTTCTTTGGGTCTGGTGCAGCTGCCTCTATGCATGATTAACCTCTGTTCAGCCATACACAGAAATCTTTTGTCCTAACATACACAAAGCAAATTATTTTGGAAAGCGAGAGAGCACAATTAAATATAAAACTCAGCCGTATTCGACTTTAAAAATGCCTCTTTTTATGTCTCTTTTATATTTTGAACCTGACTTTTATGTAGAGATGCCAGTTATATTTTTTTTATTAGACCTGTCCTGAGCTCTAGCTATTTTTAACTCACGATTTTTTTCTCTGTAAATTGGTCCTTTCAGTAAACTTTTTAAAATCTTGTGGTTGTTGATGTTTTGGGGGAGTAGAATAGTAGCATTGGGGGGCAACTAGAGACATATTTCTTTTATATAAATTGCCAGATGGATATAAAATTTAGCAATTAAGTTGGCTGTTGCTAAATTGAGGGTTTTGAGCAATCGTCTTGATGACTAGAGACTGACATTTTCATATCTAACCCTACTCCAGAGGCTGCCATGTAAGTGCAAAGTCCCAGCTATGGTGGAAATGTGTTTTCCTTGATATGAAGGTCATCTCCTTCCAGCCAGCTCAGGATAACAGTGAAGATTTCTGATAAGGTGAATGTGAGCCACAAGTATGAGACACACTTGGGTAGTTAAGCACAGAGTCTCTTTCCATAGAGAGGAAGAAGAGAATAACGTCTTGAGAGAAAGATTTGAGGACTTAAGATGTAAATAGAAATTGAGTCTTGGTTTGGTTGCTGATTTAACTTCTAACTTTCAGAGATCTAAAGTTTAATCCACCAGTCATGAATCAAAGCTGTGCCAGGCACCATGCCTTACACATCATAAGCAGGCAATAAACATTGGTCAAATTGGACTATAGCTGTTGGTGATGAGAAAGGCAGAGTACATAGACACAGACCTTGAACGTTTTTTTTTTTTTTACCCTCGGCAGGAGAGCACCTTCTGGGGTTCATACCGGGCTCATGTCCAGGGCTAGACCCCATTGCTCCTCAGAGATCCCTTACTTCATTTTGAAGCCAGTTGTAGTGATGGTGGGTTGTTTCTCTCTCTCTCACTTGTGCGCGTGTGTGCGCACACACACACACAGGAAAGGGACGTGCCCATTTGGATGAATATTTGAAGCCAGGTTTCAAAGTCTTATAAGGCCATACTAAACTCTTCAACTCAAGATTCCAGTTTCTGGTTTTGTTTTTGTTTTTGTTTTTTTTTTTAGACTTGTCACCGTATCCAGTTAATTATGCCTGTGCTTTTTTTTTTTTTTTTTTTTTTTTTTAAATTTTTCCCCTAATCCGTTTAATTTTCCCTTGTTTTTTTTTTTTTTTTTTTTTTTTATGTTTTTTCCCTTATCAAATTAATTTTTCCTTGGCTTTTTTTTTTTTTTTTTTTTTTTAAATTTTTCCCCTAATCCGTTTAATTTTCCCTTGTTTTTTTTTTTTTTTTTTTTTTTTATGTTTTTTCCCTTATCAAATTAATTTTTCCTTGGCTTTTTTTTTTTTTTTTTTTTTTTAAATTTTTCCCCTAATCCGTTTAATTTTCCCTTGTTTTTTTTTTTTTTTTTTTTTTTTATGTTTTTTCCCTTATCAAATTAATTTTTCCTTGGCTTTTTTTTTTTTTTTTTTTTTTTAAATTTTTCCCCTAATCCGTTTAATTTTCCCTTGTTTTTTTTTTTTTTTTTTTTTTTTATGTTTTTTCCCTTATCAAATTAATTTTTCCTTGGCTTTTTTTTTTTTTTTTTTTTTTTTTAATAAGTTGGGTCTTCTAAGAAAAAAATCTTTAGATCAGTCTAAGTGTTGACTATGCTCACTGTCTCACCCTCTCTAAATCCCCTGAGGAATTTTGAGGGTTTGAATAGAAAGAACTTCCTTTTCTTTCTATACATATTAAAGACTTTAAAGAGAATTTATTCAGAGGAATAACTTCACCTCTGTCTTACCATAGAAGATTCTGCTCAACAGCAACGCTTTGGAAAAACACCTGTATTCATATGAAATGTTAGTTGCTTACACCTGGAGTTGTTTATTTTGTGTAGCTAAATAATTTTGGCCTCTTGCTGCAATGAATGATTACATTTCCCATATGCCGGCCTTCCAGCCTCTGTTTCTTTCTCTTTTCCCTTCTATGATCTCGCCCTTTTAGCCGTTTATCTCTTTGCTGTATTATTTCTCAGGAAGAAGATAGGCAAGCATCCTTTCCTAGAGTTCACACAGTTCTGAAGCCAGTGAGGATCTGAGTGTTTGCTGAGAGGCTGGGTCTGCTTTGCTCCTGTCTCCATCCTTGTATGGCGATGAGTTCTCCCCTTGACTTACCTGATGGTGTCTAGGCAAAATTCTCAAGCTTTTAGTTTAAAGAAATCTCTGGGAACCAGAGATTCTGGTTATCTTACTGAAGTAAGATAACAGCAAGTCATCTTATTTCAGTTTAGGTAGACAAGGCCATATGTGAACCTGTTATGCAGTTACTCTTAGAAAAGATCAATAGAAATGAGGAGAAATGGGATGAAATGGTACCTTCATGATTGTCATTATTGTTTTTATTTTTAGTCCATGGCTTTCCAAACTGTAATGATTCATTGAATTCTTAAGGAACAACTCTTTCCTACCGCAAAAGACATCATCTGTTTCCCTGAACAAAGTAGCCAAGATAAGAACTATTAAGAACACCAGCTTATCGGATAAATCCATTCTGAGTCCGGCACATTAGGCATATATGTTGTACGTAATAGAGCACACTACCTTGTTATCCCTTCTAATAGAAAGGAACTAGTGAATGCGTGTGCATGGTAAACTGAATGTCAGTGCACCTGCACCAGAAGGTCACATCTTGGATATAAAAACTGTGTTCAGTATCTTTGCAAATGAATCTATTTAATCAAATATTGAATTTTATTCAAATTCCAAAAGAAACAGCCAGCCAGTTGTTTTTCCTCCTGATGTTCCTTGTCATTCATCCTCTTTGCATCCCAAGAAAAATAGCCTTGTTCGGGCTTCAAACATTTGCATGCACCCAATTAAGGCACAAGAGCGGTGTTCGAAGCACTTAAGACATGCAAGGGAAGAAACTGAACCTCTTCTCCGTGACAGTCAGCTTTCCCTGTTTGACTTTTAGGGAGAAGGTTAAAAAACACGTGAAGTTCAGAAAGGAAAATGATTTAATAATTTGAAACTAAAATCCATCTAGAAAACCTGAATTAAAAATGAATTTCTAAAATGGGAATTAATCCATAGAAGTTGGTCTTTTACATCTTTGGAAGTGGTGCGGGGCCATAGGAATTCTGTTAGGTGTATTAGCTCTAGGGAAACGTGTATATTAAAGATTGGAAGACTCTGGATTCCCCTTCCCCCTCCCCCCAGTTATGGACTAAGTAAATTAAAAAAATATATATCCATAAACTACACATCCCACCGACTATGTTAAACTTCTTTGTGGAGCAACAACTTGCTCTATCCCTTTTATTAAATGTGAGAGTTTAGATCTTTTCTCCCCTTTTAAGGATTCTAAGGGGGGAAAACTAGAAACATAGCAAATCAGAGCCTAAGGAGCAAGCTAAAATTCTCCGGGTTTCAAAGCGCTTTAGAAATTGTAAGCAAGTGGTCCTGATCCATTTGGTTGGAACTGCAGCATGTAAAACCTCTAGTCACAATTCAGGGTTGAGTTGGAAAAAAAGAATTTTCTTCCTGCAGCCTTCACAACCTATTATTCTCCCATTTGCCTTTTTGCTGCCTCTGCTGCTTCTCCCGCGGCTGCTGTTTAGGTGAAGTTATATTGTGCTTGGTAAACAGACAACACGTAAATTCTCAGGTTGTTTGCACATCATTTTAGGTTCAGCTGCAATACCCTACTTCTCTTATCTTTTATATTCCCGAGCAGATGTCTTTCATTAATTTATGGATTTATCATCTTTTCTTTTTCTTTTTTTATTTTTGTTTTTTTTTTTTTTTTTTTTTCTTTTTTTTTTTTTTTTTTTTTTTTTTTTTTTTTTTTACACCTGGCAGCTGTCTCAAGTTTCAGCAGTTATTGTCTATTTTGTATTATACATAGAATTGAATGTCATCTGTCTTCACAAAGCTATGGCTAAGAGAATTGAGGCAAAGCCACATGAGCTGCCGGGACAGATCTTGTTTGCGTTCCATCCCCCCTCACCCCACCCCCCCTTTACCTCCTTAATATTTATTTGTGCTCATTTTCTTTCCTGGCCTTGAATGGAGCTTAGCTCGTGTTCAGTACAGCTGTATGTTTACTGAATCTATTCCATCATGAGTCATTGTGCGTGTGTAAGTATCCTGGAAACAGCTAGTGCTTTCTTGGAAGAACAGTTGCTTTTCAGCACAAGCACTTAAAAGGGAAATTAACCAATTGGTCAGTTCAGATTTATTTTGAAGAGAAAAAAAAAGGATTATCTAACTGTTGGCTTTTAAATCTTTCATTAGCTATTTTTAATAGTTTATTAGAAACATATATTTTATGGGAATTTTATCTTAATTACACGATGAGCAAGAAATAAAGATGTATTCTGTGTTTCATTTCCACTGATTGATTCCAAGTATTTCCAACAGGAAGCATTTTAAAGCAAAAAAACGTACTTGAGAAATTCAAATTAGGATGATTTTTTTCATGAAATAAAAAGCCTCTAAATCCCAACCAAAATACGATGGATACTTTGCTCTGTCTTTTTAGATAAAAAAAGACGAAAACATCTTAGCATAATTTAAAGACACTGAAAGCTTCAGGAAGTTTTGGTGGCTCAATAACTATCTGAGAACCACAGCAAAACAATTCGTTTTGTATGAGACCAAATTTGAAAAGGTTTGGAACTAATAATTAATTGTACTAGGTTGTTTGGATGTAGCCTCCTGAAAGAACAGATTAGAACCCAGATCTGAGGATGTTTGTCAAAGTTTGGACTTGCCTAAAACTCTTATCACGAGGCAATAGGAGACAGCTTGCAACTATTATTTCACTTATCCATTTGGACAGATGGTCCTGAAGTGTGCCGGGCTCCTTTAGTCCCCTCTCTCAGTCTAATGGAGGTTACTGGAGGGCCTTTCAGCCCTTTCCTTGGCACAAGAAGTATGTCAGTCATAAATTATCGTCTTTGTAATCATTAAGGATCTCAAACAAAAACACAAGTTCAGTTAGACTGCTTTGGCTTACAGATAAAACATCAAAATTTCTTTCTTCAGTGTTTATTTACAGTGAAAACAAAAGGCTCAATATTTAACTTTTCAATTTACAGACTAAGGTGATCTTTTTCAAATTGCGTGATATTAACGGGAATGCTAATTGATCAAATTCTCAGCAGAATATTTGGTTAAACCCCCTGTTATAAGTAGTCGAGAACTTATCAATATTAATTCGATTATGCTTCTCTTGGAACTTTCTGGTTTCCCTCTGTTCCTAAGATTGGTCATGCTGTACTTGATGATGGTAATTTAGAAACTTTCACCTTTCCTAAATATCTGTGTTTATTTGACCTTGCTTCATACGGTGTGAAATTTTTGTTGGGTTTGTTAGCCAAGTGTGTGTGTTTGCTTATGTGTGCGTGTGTGTGTGTGCGCGCACACCCACACGTGCATATTTTCTTTTCTTTTTTTCCCTTATTTTTTCCCAGACTCTCTTTTAAGAGAAAATCCTTAGAGAAGCTTCTAGGAAGGACCCTTAATTGACCTTGTGGGGGACCACATTGATTTTCTCCACGTGCATCTTCATTTCTGATAAATTATAAAGCCATTAATTTGCTGAGGAAATGGCAGGGCCAGGCTGCGGCACAGATGTGACCAGAGCCATCCCAGCTCCGAGTCTGCTGAGGAGTGCCAAGAATCTGGGGGAGAATCAGGAAGCCTGGATTGTTATGGTTAGCCTCACATTCTCTTGGGAACTGTTTTAGTTGCTGCTGTTTACAGATCTAAAAGGTAATGATGTTTCCAGATAAGCAGACCTTCTTATTTTGGGTAAGTGGCCATTTATTGATCTGCTAACCCACATTTATTGATTTGTTAGCTCCAACCACTGTGCCACTCTCAAAGGAGTTAACTATAAATCCAGGAGAGGCAAATTGTATTTGGTTTTGGATCGTTGCTCTAACAGAAGCGACACCCCCTCCCTGTTCTCTCGGTGCCCAAACTAACCCTCCCAAGTTTTAGCTGTTATTGAAAAGGAAACAATTAAAAGGATATAATAATAAGACAGGAAGAAAGTGAGTCGAGATGCTCCATTATATTAGCGCTGAAAGGTAAAATGTGAAGCTTGCCTAACAGTGTTCAAAATGATGCATTTTATATTTTCATGTACATTAGTATAATAATTGGACGTCATCTGCAGAGAGCGGAGAGAACAGACAACTGTAATTGTGAAGAAGGAAAAAACTCTCATGATCAGAGTTGTGCAGTACCTGCTGGGTGCATTTGTCTCCTTAGCAACAAGTGAACGTATAGATAGCATAAGGACTTCAGGTAGGGGGAATGTTTTGCCATCCTCACCATGAAGTCTCCAGGATTCCGCAACTAAATTGTGCATCTTCGCCATTATATTTGGCAATTTCTGACCGGCAGTGGTCATTCTGAGCAGGCAGCAGCAAGTTAGTGATGGATTCCATGGCCAGCGCCATTTATCTTCCAGAATTCCTGTGGCTGCTGGGTGGGCCTCCAGATTCCTGTGGGGT